ATGCCACTGTGATACGTCTATATGATGGGCACCTCTACATTACAGGAACCTCTATATATCCCATATAACATTGACCTTCGGTTTCGGTAAGGACCTCGCGAGAGGTTAAAGTACTATTGCCATAATTACGTCACAATAAACACTCTATTGCTTTAACGATAAGGATTATGGTCCCCAGTGGGGAACGGAAAGACTGCATATCAAGGAAAAAACACACTGCAAACATGCTTTTAAGTCATTATGCAATATGGCACTTTGATAATAGGAAATTGTAAGTTACAAGGATAAATTGTCATATATTCAATAAAGGCACTTTATACAAAAGGGTTGTCCGTCGTTTAGCAGCCATATTTGGTAGTCTTACCTTATTTGGAAGTACGTTTGGACCTATTTTTGGCGATTTTCTCGACTCTTGAAGCTTGAAATCGTCTGAAACTTGCAGAGATTATAGCGAAAAGACATCTCAACAATCGGCCATTTTGTTTGTTTCCATATATGGCATGGATTCACCAACCTCGTTCCCAGGGCTACTCTGCTCGCTCTTTTCAAAATCAAAAGAATTGCCTCAGAAAAGTTTTCTTCGTTTAGCAGGAATATTTGGTAACCTTGCCTTATTTGGAAGTTCATGTCGACTGCTTTTTGGCGATTTTCTCGACTTTTAAAGCTTGAAATTGTTTGAAACTTGCATATTTTATAGCGAACGTTTCAACATTAGGTCTTTATTGGTCTTTATGTTTGTTTCTATCAACCTCGTTCCCAGGGCTACTCTGCGACCAGAGAAAAAAAGCGAGCAGAGTAGGTCTGGGAACGAGGTTGTGTTTCTATATATGGCATGGATTCACTAAAGGAAACCCGAAAATAAAATACACAGGGGTCCCGCACGAATTCCCGACACACAATTCTTTGATATATGTAGCGCAGGCCGCCGAGTGGACGAGATTCGCGAAGCATGGCAAACGAACTTCCGTAGCAGACGATGCCATTCCGTATATTACGTACCTAATTGTTCAAGTGTTTGCTTTTGGGTGATTTGATTTGTATTTCATATGTGTGTTAACTGTACTCAGTTTGGAACATCCTTCGTACCATGGGTACAAAACATTTCTACTAAAACTCGATTTCTAAATCAACTCACTACTTTTTTTCACAATCGAGTGATTTCAATTTTAGGCCAATATCAAGAGATTGGAAAATGTATTCAGGTATTTTTTTCCGGGTTTGCGACCTGTCAAATGCRGCTTGGTATTCGATCATTATTGCGCCGAAGCATATTTTCAAAAACTGTTGTTTACAGCTGAAGTTTATTCGTATCTCAGAAGTATTTGGGTTTGTATTCCTACATCTAAGTCAGTTTTCAGAGGAGTGGTCGTGAACTAACCATGGATATCAGTTTGAAAGTTCTGAGTGCTTTGTTTTTGCTTGCGCTAMTAACAAGTGAATTTGTGGATTGTGAAGTCTTTGAAGACGACGAACCTGCTCATGACAGATCTAGTAAGTTTTCTTTGCGAGTTTGTGAGCAGTTTTATTGCAATTTTTAAGTGATAACTGYGATATAAGATAAATGGGTGTCTCAAACACACACACGCAAGAAAACTAAATAATGAAAAGATGTGTGAAACAGTCTACTTTCCCGCAAACATATCTGTGAGCAGAGTCCAAGAAGAGCCAACCTATGTCTCTCTTTTTTAGGTAAAAAGCTCTTTTAGAGCTCAATCAATCAATAAATCAACTTCGCAAACTTTATTTAAACACGGAAAATTATCAGTCAAAATGGAAAATACCGGAAACTTTTTATTGTTATTAGACCATAGAATTGCAACTAGGMTTTATTATTCCACTGTTCTCTGATCATCTGTGAATTACAACGCTTACAGGAGGATTTMATTTTACAGTTTTKTCTYCAATCGTGTCATATCAACTGTTAAATTTCAGAGATGCTTCAAAAAAGAGGATCCATTGACTTTGCAGTGATGATTTGGATGGTGACTTTCAGAAACCCTTTTGATTATAATGGGTATGGATGTTATTGTGGCTTGGGTGGAAGAGGACGACCCCTTGATGCCATCGACAGGTATACAACAATAACTGAATAATCTGTTAAAAATAATGAWAATAATCTACAATTATTAACAAGGGACAAAAATTTATTAACGAATTATGAATCAACAATTAAAAATATCAGATTGCCTGTTAATTCCCTTCTCGAGTTGCTTCAGGAATATTAGACCCATATAAACAAGTTTACTAATAAAGTTTCGTGTCGTCTTCAATATTTTCATTCAACTCACCCTTTTAAATGAAAAATGAAATATCTCAGGCCGAACTCTCTCTCTCTTGTATGTCTTCTTACGCTGTTACGCAGCACTTGGCTGACGTAATTTGTACGCGGAACTTTGGACTATAGTTCAGGGTCGAGGCGTGGGATATGGGATTTGGGATCAGAGTTATTTTGGGGATCAGGGATCAGAGTTTTTTCAACATTTTTATACTTCTACCCCCTACTCGGCATAATCAATGTGATTTCCTTTACGATAACTTTATCACAGGTGTTGCAAAGCCCATGACGAGTGCTGGAATTGGCTCAGACGAAGAAAGGTTTGCTCCAGGATCATGACGTATTTACAGCCTTATAAGTTTATAGGAGGGAGATGCCTCAACAAAAAGTACACTTMTGGTAAAAATATATCTAATCTATCATTATCAATCACGTTTGAAGCGGTCATGATCCACTGGGATTCRATGCGGTCGTATTTTATATATATATTAGAATGAAATTGAACAAAACACCAACTTGAAGCTTTCTCTGTTTTAATGGACGTTTCGGCACTTCGGCCTTCTTCAGCAAACTGAGTGTTTTGCACGCGCCACTCTCTATAAATCCTAACAAATAAACGAACAAAAAAACACAAAACATTAAAGAAACTACGGAAACTTAGGGAAACCTAAGAAATGCGCGTTCATAAAAAGCGCGCACACAACCTGCCTAATACGCGCGTAAAAGTCAAAAGCGCGCGCGGCAAAAAGCAAAAAAAGCGCGTGCTATATATATATGATATATATAATCGTATGAGGAAGTGGCTGATCCCATTAAAGAGTGCTCAATACACATAAAGTGTAGAGCTAGTTATATATATGATATCAAAGAGGCAAGATTTTSCTGTAACTCCGAGTTTCGTGCTACGCACTCATCAGACAGTATTTAATCCTTAATGATTATAAAAWTTTT